CGCCTGTCCACAAATGTGGTAATCTCACAGATGTTAACAACTACAGACCTATATCTATCCTGCCAAACTTGTCAAAAAATTTTGAAAAACTAATCTATAAGCAGCTTTACTCATATCTAGCCAAACTCAATATACTTAGCCCTTGCCAATATGGCTTCAGACCCAAAAAAAGCACTAACGATGCACTTATTAGTATGCTTAACTCGATTCATACAGCTCTTGATAAAAATGAGTTCCCTGTTGGGTTGTTTGTGGACCTGCGTAAAGCTTTTGACACTGTCAACCACCAAAACCTTCTTCTTAAATTACATCATTATGGAGTCAGAGGACACTCCCTACAATACCTCAAATCCTACCTTACTGACAGGCTCCAATATGTTTCTGTGAATAATACAATTTCTCCCACCCTACCCATCAACATTGGTGTTCCCCAGGGCAGCATACTTGGCCCTCTCCTCTTTCTCATCTACATTAATGACCTTCCAAATGCCTCCCAACACCTCAAACCAATTCTATTTGCTGACGACACAACCTTCATTTACTCCAGTCCTGATCCCCTTGCTCTAAATGCCACAGTAAATACTGAGCTAAATAAAGTCCATCTGTGGCTAACTGCCAACAAACTCACCCTTAACATTGACAAAACCTTCTATATTCTGTTTGGCAATAAATCCTCTAATCAAATAAATCTCAAAATATACAATACCCAAATTTGTAACAAATTAGATGGCAAATTCCTTGGCATTCTCATTGACCACAAGCTTAATTTCCAGGGACACATTCTAAACATATCAAAAAAAGTTTCAAAAACTGTGGGCATTCTTTCTAAGATCAGATATTATGTACCACGCCCTGCCCTGGTGACTCTCTATTACTCCCTTATCTATCCATATCTCAACTATGGTATTTGTGCTTGGGGCTCTACTACCCAAAATCACTTACGTCCTCTAATTACTCAACACAAAGCTGCTATTAGGACAATATCCAATTCTGGCCCCAGACATCACTCAGTACCCCTACTTAAATCTCTGAATATGTTAGACATTAAGTCACTGCACATTCTCTCATGTGTATTATACATATATAAAACGCTAAACTATAATGCCAATCCTGATCTCAAAAGCTTCATAGAAGGTTGTATCAGAACCCATGAGCATCACACCAGAAATAAATAGTTTTGATATTCCTAGAGTACGACTTAATCAAACTAGAAATGCTCTACAAATCAAGGGGCCCAGAATGTGGAATGACCTTCCCAACCATGTTAAAGACTGTACCTCTCTCAACCAGTTTAAGTTAAAAGCGAAGCTATACCTAATAAATTCCCTGTAACCTACCTTACCCTTCTATTGTCAACCAATGTCTGTTTTTTTCTTTAAAGAGCGCTGTTTGTCGACATAATTGTATTTGTGCTGCTTTTTCATCTATGTTTTCATTTCTTGTTTTCATTCTACTCATTATGCTCAATTAGTATTAAGCTTGTCATTTAAGTTTATCATGCCCGAAACGCTTTGCGTAATAGTGGCTTTAGGCATTGTATGTACTAGCTCTACCTATAAGTCAAACAATCCTTGTAAATATTTATTGTATGTATGTACCTTAATTACCTAAATAAAATTGTATTGTATTGTATTGTTATTATGCACCCCCATACCCATCCCGTGGGCGGTAGTGTAAAGGATTACAGAGGCACATAATCGGTTCAGGAACTGAACCCTCTAGTTCGTTTAGCTAAGCAAATAACAATCTTTTGACGCTAATTACACAATTATTAATGTTATATATACATATACACATACTCATACATACTTGTACATATATATACATACACATACATATTCAATCGCCCACACAAATACACACATCAATAATCTTTTGTATCACAAGAGATTCAACAAGATTCTCACAACAGTAACTATACAAGGCACTTTACATCTATGGTGAGTCACAGAGATACTGTACCTATAACCGAGTATAAGGTGGGAAGAAATGAATAATGCATGAGAAAGCAGGCTAGGTAATATAATAGTTACAAGATACGAGCTAAATGGTGTTGGGATTACGAAACTGATCTGAGAGTTATGATTTGTAAGAATTTAAAACCAAAAATCAATGAATAAATGCTCGTAATAAGGCAAATATGACAATGGAATTTATTTATAGAAGAGTTAATAATAAAGCACCTGGGGCTATTCTTCAGCTATATCTTGCTCTTCTTAGGTTCCATTTAAAGTATGTAGTTAAGTTTTGGTCGCCATAATATAGAATAGATATAAATTCACTAGAACACGTCCAGCGTAGGATGACACAGTTAATCCCGCAAATTAGAAACCTGTCATGTGAACTAAAGTGACAAAGCTTAATTTACATGCTCTAGAAAGGCGAAAGTCGTAGATGGGTACAAGTGAATGAATGGGCATAACAATCTCCATCCTTTTGCATAATGGGCTCTATCCTTTTGAGATGTACTTCTTTTTATCAACATACCTACTTTTACTTGTTAACCTAGATCGACAGATTGATGTATGATTAAATCCACAAGGGCCATGATGAGGGTTCGAACTTACGTCCAGGATGATCCCAGACGCGCCTTAATCGATAAATAAATATCTGACGGATTTATCACGCTGTGTGAATAGATTGAAGTATATTATGCCAATAAATGGCACTAAAAATTATATATAAGTATCTACATGTTTATGGGAATGATCAAATTTTGTCTATGCCTTAGATTTTAGTTTTTATTATGTGTTGTTGACAAAATATTATACAAATTTAAAAAAATCAATATATATATTTAAATTTAGAGTCTTTTATGTATTATAATTTTAGATTATAAATATAATAGTAAAACTGTTTTGATATGTGTTTAGAGCTTTATGATTTTTTTTATAATGTTTCATCGAATAGCTTTTTTTTTGTATGTATATTTATAATGATTTGGGAAGGGAGTAACGTTAATATGCTTTGAATAATATAATTCGTTGAGGAAGTTACCTAAATTTTTATCTGGTTATAAACTGGATATGGACAGGATTTATTCATACATAAAACCCGAAAAACTATTTCAGGTTCTATGTATAGTTACCCGTTTCCAAGGGAATGCTGTCCCCCATGGTCACCGTGCCGTATTTGCCAAATATGTATTGTTCTGATCTGCTTTTGTGTCAAAATTTCTTGCAATGTATTTTTTGTCTATTTACTGTAATTATTCTACTTAAAATTATCTGTACCTGTAAAGTAAAGCTGTAAAGTACCTGTAAACTTTTTTTGTCAATTTTACTGTTAAATTATATAAAAGTTATGTTTTATGTTTTATGTTTTTTTTTTTTTTTTTTTTTTTTTTTTTTTTTTGAGATATATACAAGAGTTGTTACATTCTTGTACAGCCACTAGTACGCGTAGCGTTTCGGGCAAGTCCTTAATCCTATGGTCCCTGGAATACGATCCCCTGCCGCGAAGAATCGTTTTTTCATCCAAGTACACATTTTACTGTTGCGTTAAACAGAGGCTACAGTTAAGGAATTGCGCCCAGTAAATCCTCCCCGGCCAGGATACGAACCCATGACATAGCGCTCGCGGAACGCCAGGCGAGTGTCTTACCACTACACCACGGAGACTGCAAGGTGGAGTCTTAAGGACTAAACCCAAATGCTATGCATGCCAGTGGCTTTACGAGAACGTAAATGTATTGGAGGAAGCTGATGTGTAGTCACCAAATATAAGCAATCGATATGAGAATAGCCAACAGTACAATTTCCACAGTCAAGAATGTAGCAGTCGGCGTATGCTGTTCTAATCGACCCCAAAGACGCTACAGCTTCGACATAGAGCAGACAGCTGACTATATCCCATCGAGCTACAACGCTCTCCCACATAGAGATCAGTTTAGACACGATTCCCCATCGAGCCGCCACGCTCTCCCACATAGAGATCAGCGACTCCGGCCTCAGCTCTCTGCTCTGCTGCAAGCTCTGTCTCAGCGTCTACGACACTGCTGTATCCAAGACTACTAAATAAATATGAAAACCCACTAAACACTATGTATCTAATCAACTCAACAACCTAACAAAATCGTACGTTACAGACTTAACAAACCCATCTCATTAAATTAATGAGAAGTTTGGAATGAGAATAATATCGATATTATTAATATACTCACTACAAACCCGTGGAACCACTTGCCCGCCGAAGCCGCAAGTGATAATGGAATGGAACTATCAGGGGAAAGCGCCAAGCCATTACGACTATATATAGCACTTGGAAGGGGTCAGGATAAGGACGGGAGACATCTCCCGTCACGAAGGGTGCAGTCGCACCTCCACAGATCTCCAGTATCAGCTATTGATACTGGTAATGGCTCAAAAGGGTCACCACTTACGGGCTATTCATGCCCGTGCCTCCTTTTGGGTGGCTTAATATTCAACAATCAATCAATCGGTCAGGATATGGAATGGGACGGGGGGTAAGGAAGGAACGGTGCCCAACCACTTGGACGGTCGGGGATTGAACACCTATTTCAGGTAAGGTCGGTGTTTTCTATGAAGCTTTTCAAGGTAAACTAGTATGTTTAGTATGTCACATATGCACGTATTTAATAAGTCAATATTGACTGAAGAAAGTGCGAGAACGGGTTGCCTATCTGCATGAAGTGAAACCGTCGCTCTACCGTCCAGCCCAAGTGGCTGCCACAAATGATAAGAAAATGATAAGACTCTATTGAACTTTAAAATCCAGCTTGAAAAAATCATGTGTTAGTGGAGTCGCACGAATGTAAGAACAATGTTATGAACTCTCGCAACCCAATGTACCTTCTTGTATATGAACGAATTCATGAATGAATGCATGAATGACTGAATAAATACGCGAATGAATGAATGAATCAATCAATCAATCAATCAATAAAAAAATAATTAATTAATTAATTAATTAGTAAATAAATAAATAGAATATAGGTTGGCAAGCATGAGAGCAGAGAGTGTTGGCCTCACTGAGACAAACGCGCCAAGCTCAAGTGTAAACATAGTCGTTGACTCCTATGTCCGAGGTTCTCCTGTGTCCAAAATTCCCGGCAAATTATTGCTTCTTCAGTAGTCTCAAGACTCTCATGCCAGTGTAAGTGTGTAAGGAGGTAACACTACTTAAGACACCGAGGATATATGAGGAGGGAGAAACACAGCTGACGTTGAAGAAATGAGTTAATGGTTCCACCTGACGACGTTAGTATTCTCACTCCGATCGGCTTCTGTAAATACCTTGTCTTTGGTCAGGGAGACCACGATGAGCCTAGCAGGCTTCCTGTCTTTGACACTGGGACATTATTGTGAACTGTTGGGGTGTGAGCCATGCTAGTCTACACTCCCTAACATGCTCCACACCCCCCAACATGCTCCACACTCACCAACATGCTTCTCACTCACCAACATGCTCCATACTCCACAACATGCTCCACACTAACACATATGCTCCACACTCACCAACATGCTCCATACTCCTCAACATGCTCTACACTCACCAACATGCTTCTCACTCACCAACATGCTCCACACCCCCCAACATGCTCCACACTCACCAACATGCTTCTCACTCACCAACATGCTCCATACTCCACAACATGCTCCACACTAACACATATGCTCCATACTCCTCAACATGCTCCACACTCACCAACATGCTCCATACTCCTCAACATGCTCTACACTCACCAATATGCTCCACAATTCCCAACTGTTCACACCTCCTGAGGTTATCTTGAGATGATTTCGGGGCTTTAGTGTCTCCGCAGCCCGGTCCTTGACCAGGCCTCCACCCCCAGGAAGCAGCCCGTGACAGCTGACTAACACCCAGGTACCTATTTTACTGCTAGGTAACAGGGGCATAGGGTGAAAGAAACTCTGCCCATTGTTTCTCGCCGGCGCCTGGGATTGAACCCAGGACCACAGGATCACAAGTCCAGCGTGCTGTCCGCTCGGCCGACCGGCTCCCTGACAAACATTGCTCATACCTCCCGATCATGGTTCACACCTCTAACAAGGTATAACCCCTCCCCTCCTGCAAGGTCCATGCACCCCAACATGGTCCACAGCCTGTACATGGTCCACAGCCTGTACATGGTCCACAGCCTGTACATGGTCCACAGCCTGTACATGGTCCTCACCCCTCTACATGGTCCACACCCTCTACATGGTCTGCACCCTCTACATGGTCCACACCCTCTACATGGTCCACACTCTACATGGTCCACACCCTCTACATGGTCCACACCCTCTACATGGTCCACACCCTCTACATGGTCCACATCCTCTACATGGTCCACATCTTCTACATGGTCCACATCTTCTACATGGTCGACAGCTTCTTCATGGTCCACACCCTCTACATGGTCCACACCCTCTACATGGTCCACACCCTCTACATGGTCCACACCCTCTACATGGTCCATACCCTATAAATGGTCCACACCCTCTACATGGTCCTCATCTTCAACATGGTCGACAGCCTCTACATGGTCCGCACCCTCTACATGGTCCACACCCTCTACAAGGTCTACACCCTCTACATGGTCCACACCCTCTACATGGTTCACGCTTCTCTACATGGTCCACACCCTCTACAAGGTCTACACCCTCTACATGGTCTACACCCTCTACATGGTCTACACCCTCTACATGGTCCACACCCTCTACAAGGTCTACACCCTCTACATGGTCTACACCCTCTACATGGTCCACACCCTCTACAAGGTCCACACCCTCTACATGGTCCACACCCTCTACATGGTCCACACCCTCTACATGGTCCATACCCTATAAATGGTCCACACCCTCTACATGGTCCTCATCTTCTACATGGTCCTCATCTTCTACATGGTCGACAGCCTCTACATGGTCCGCACCCTCTACATGGTCCACACTTTCTACATGGTCCACACCCTCAACATGGTCCACACCCTCTACATGGTCCACACCTACATGGTCCACACCCTCTGCATGGTCCACACCCTCTACATGGTCCACACCCTCTACATGGTCCACACCCTCAACATGGTCCACACCCTCTACATGGTCCACACCCTCTACATGGTCCACACCCTCTACATGGTCCACACCCTCTACATGGTCCACACCCTCTACATGGTCCTCACCCTCTACATGGTCCACACCCTCAACATGGTCCACACCCTCTACATGGTCCACACCTACATGGTCCACACCCTCTGCATGGTCCACACCCTCTACATGGTCCACACCCTCAACATGGTCCACACCCTCAACATGGTCCACACCCTCTACATGGTCCACACCCTCAACATGATCCACACCCTCTACATGGTCTACACCCTCTACATGGTCCACACCCTCTACATGGTCCACACCCTCTATATGGACCACACCCTCTACATGGTCCACACCCTCTACATGGTCCACACCCTCTACATCGTCCACACCCACTACATGGTCCACACCCTCTACATGGTCTGCACCCTCTACATGGTCCACACCCTCTACATGGTCCATACCCTCTACATGGTCTGCACCCTCTACATGGTCTGCACCCTCTACATGGTCCACACCCTCTACAAGGTCCACACCCTCTACATGGTCCATACCCTCTACAAGGTCCACACCCTCTACAAGGTCCACACCCTCTACATGGTCCATACCCTCTACATGGTTCACACCCTCTACATGGTCCATAACCTCTACATGGTCCATAACCTCTACATGGTTCACACCCTCTGCATGGTCCTTACCCTCTACATGGTCCATATCCTCAACATGGTCCACACCTTCTACATGGTCCACACCCTCTACATGGTCTGCACTCTCTACATGGTCCTAACCCTCTACATGGTCCACACCCTCTACATGGTCCTCACCCTCTACATGGTCCTCACCCTCTATATGATCCACAACCTCTACATGGTCCGCACCCTCTATATGGTCCACACCCTGTACATGGTCCACACACCCCTCTACATGGTCCAAACACCCCTCTACATGGTCCACACCCTCTACATGGTCCACACCCTCTACACGGTCTGCACCCTCTACATGGTCCACACCTTCTACATGGTCATTACCCTATACATGGTCCATACCCTCTACATGGTCCACACCCTCTACATGGTCCACACCCTCTACATGGTCCACACCCTCTACATGGTCCACACCCTCTACATGGCCCACACCCTCTACATGGCCCAGACCCTCTTTATGGTCCACACCCTCTAAATCGTCCACACCCTCTACATTTATTTATTTATTTATTTATTTATTTATTTATTTATTGATATATATACAAGAAGGTACATTGGGATTGTGAGGATACATAATATGGTAATTACAATCTTGTAAAGCCACTAGTAAACGCAGCGTTTTGGGCAGGTCCTTAATCTAAGAAAATTTTAAGTAGGTAAATACTTGCAAAATTTATAAAAAATGATAACAGTTACAAGTCAAGAAAGAAAAAAGATGAGAGAAAATTGTAGGTATATATTAGAGCACATAGGTAGCTCAGATTGATTGCAATGACAGCTTGAATGGTAGTTGACAAAAATTGGTAGGCACAATACAGCATATGGCTAGCACATAAAAGAAGACATCAATGAACACATTGATAAGGTTGTTTGGGTTAAGTACATAAAAATTGGGAGATTGGGTAACACTAGATACAGAGCAAATTTAAAGCTCAGTGTAGGAAAGTAAGTAGATGAAATTAGGTACTTTTTGGTTTTTGCTTTTAAATAAGGCAAAAGTTTGACAGCTTTTCAATTCACTAGGGAGTGAGTTCCATAGACTAGGTCCCTTAATTTGCATAGAGTGTTTACACAGATTAAGTTTGACCCTGGGGATATCAAAGATATATTTATTTCTGGTGTGGTGATAATGGGTCCTATTACGTCTGTCCAGGGAGAGTGTTTCAGAGCATGGTTTGCATTTAAGAACAGGGTTTTGTAAATGTAGTTGACACAAGAGAATGTGTGGAGGGAGTTAATATTTAGCAAGTTTAGGGATTTAAACAAGGGAGCTGAGTGTTGTCTGAAAGCAGAGTTAGTTATTATTCTGATAGCAGATTTTTGCTGGGTGATGATGGGCTTAAGGTGGTTTGCAGTGGTAGACCCCCATGCACAGATACCATAATTAAGATAGGGGTAGATTAATGCATAATATAGTGAGAGGAGAGCAGAGTTAGGAACATAATATCTTATTTTAGAGAGTATACCAACTGCCTTGGAGACTTTCTTCGTTATGTGTTGAATGTGGGTGCTAAAGTTGAGTCTCTTGTCTAGGAATAGGCCAAGAAACTTGCCATCATTTTTATTACTGATGTTAATGTTGTCTATCTGTAGCTGAATTGCATTTGATGATTTGCTTCCAAATAAGATGTAGTAAGTCTTTTCTATGTTTAATGTTAGTTTGTTAGTTGACATCCATAAGTGGACTTTTTTAATTCATTATTCACATTATTTAGTGTATGTGGGTTGGGGTCTGAATAGATAAGGGTAGTATCATCAGCAAACAATATAGGTTTAAGAATATTAGAGACATTAGGCAGATCATTTATATATATAAGAAATAGAAGAGGTCCTAAGATACTGCCCTGTGGCACTCCAACGATAATTGGTAGAGTGGAAGAAGTTGTATCATTGATGGTTACACATTGGTGTCTGTCACTAAGATAGAATCTGATGTAGTCAAGGGCAAGGCCTCGGATTCCATAATGCTGGAGTTTAAGTAAGAGGTAGTTGTGATTAACAGTATCAGAGGCTTTTCTTAGGTCAATGAAGAGTCCAATCGGAAACTCATTTTTGTCAAGGGCTGAGTAGATTACGTCAAGGAGACTAATGATTGCATCATTAATGCTCTTTTGGGACCGGAAGCCAAACTGGCAGGGGCTGAGTATGTCGAATTTTACGAGGTAGGAATAGAGCTATTTGTAAATAAATTTTTCAAATATTTTTGGTATGAATGGGTAGATTTGATATTGGTCTATAATTGTTTATGTCCACTGGATTGCCTCCTTTATGGACTGGCGTTACTCTTGCTTTTTTGAGGATATCAGGGAAGGTGTGACACTATAGATTTGTTGAACAGAAGAGCTATGGGTGGTGC